AAATTGACAAGCTTGAAGAATCATTAAATAATGAGCTGCAACTCATCCTATTTGTTTAATGGGGGAGGAGGCAACTTTGTGCTGGCTGGCAGCTGCCCCCCCCCACACACACACACTTTAAGCTGTTATTCTGAAGAATCTACCATAGTGCAAAGTAAGGGAGGGTAGCTTTTCTGTTTGAGTCTACAAGGTTTTTAACTATACCAAAGCTACATAAAACAAGGCTTTTATTTGGTTTCCTGCCTGAAAATGGCAAATATTTGTCTGAGCTTCAGTGGCATGATGAGAGAAGGTTTTGGAGATTGCAAAGTAATTCTGAAGCTGAATGCAGATCCAATACCTGTTCATTTTTGCTACACTTTACAGTATATTTCACCAGCATATATTATCATATCATACATGCACTCCTCAAATATGAAATGAATGAATGAATGTATTGCATTGCTGTAGAAAAGAAAGATAGCAGCATTATGACTTACTGCAAATGAAACTATTTCACAGAAATTTGTCCCTTCTGTGTTCTATGTGTGAGATAATGCATTGTCGGTAGTGTAATTTCTGTCTTTTACAAGTCTGGTTTCCAATCTGATAATATTTCCTGCTCTCCGATCTTGTCTTTAGAGCTAGAGCAATTAGGAGCTTCTGGATGTTTATTCAGGAGTAAATCCCATTGATTTTGGTGCAATTTACTTTGAAGTAAACATCAGCAGGACACAGTCCCTAAAGGGAAAACACCTGTAAAAAGGTGAATGATCCTAGGAGAGCATAAGAAGAAGGGGAACAGCCTGGCTGGGTCTAAATAAGTTTGGTTCAGCAGAAATGTGAGGCCACAAAGCCTTCTTATGCAGGAGCTGGAATTCAGATGCATACAATTTTTATGAAATCCCTTTTAAACCCTTCAGTTAGTAGCCATCATTCTATCCTACAGTGGCCAATCCCCTTATTTCACTATTTGTTTTATGGAGTACATTGATTCACATTATTTGCCAGCTGCTGTTAGTGCATTTATGAATGAGCTCTTCTGGCATTTCTATCAAAGGGAAGAAGAAGATGAGAAATGAATATCCAGATCTGCAGCCTTTCAAATACAGAAGAGATTGGCATAGCTTCCTATATTTAAGCTACCGTTCTATCTTTAAACCATAGGAAGGAACTTTTAGGAAGAAGCCTGGTTAAAATAGCAGTGTTATACCTATATCAGAAGAAAGAGCCTTTGCCTTGCCTGATCCCTGACATGAATGAATGAATGAATGAATGAATGAATGAATGAATGAATGAATGAATGAATGAATGAATGAA